ACCAAAATGCATTGAGCAACCCAAAAACCTACGGGTGGGACTTTTGCTCTTAGCCAGTCTGTTTGAGCTTTCAGTGGACCACGTCCACTCTTGGAACGGCTACCCTTCAGAGTTACTTCTTTGTTGGACTTTGTCTTTAGAATCATACTGGAAAAGCCACATTTCATCTCCTGTTACCTTTCTTCCAAGAAATGCCTCCAGCTCTGAATCCCACATTTTAGAATTTCCATTGAAAGCTCTTGTGCGTCCACTTAGCAGAGAGTTTGCCCGAGTCTAACTTTTCAGTCAGAATCCTGTTGGATGATCCTCTGAGATGTCTACGGTGTTGGCTGTAGGTTCTGCTCTTGAGGGCCAGCCAGTCCTCTTCAGTTAGGGCCCAAGCAAAATCAGTTTTTTCTCTTAAGTCGATGTGGGTGGTCTGCCACTGTGGGCGTCATCTTCAGCATCGTTCTCATCCCTGTGTCTTCGGGGCATTGTCCACGACCTTTTCATAAAGCATCAATGAGTTCACCAGTCTTCACCCAAGCTTCACCTTAAATTTCATGGTTGTTCTTGCTTCAAGTTTAGCAGAATTCACGTTGCTCCAATAAGGGCTTTTTTTTCAAACTAATGTCTTGTTGATGATGATGATGATGTTGTGTGCCGTGGAGTCGGTTCCAACCCATAGCGACCCTGCACAGGGTTTCTGAGGCTATAAATCTTTACGGGAATAGAAAACCTCATCTTTCTCCCGCGGAGCAGCTGGTAGTTTCAAACTGCTGTGAGGTTAGCAACCCAATGATTCGTAACCACTACGCTACCAGAGCTCCAGATATCTTAGCACCTCAAAATAGATTCTGATCAGATATGTTGTAACAAGTTGTTGTTAAGTGCTGTTGAGTCTGTTCTGACTCATAGTGACGCTGCATAGGGTTTCTAAGGAGACACTGGTGGGTTTGAACTGCCGGCCTTTGGCTTTAAACTGACCTTTTGGTCCGGTGCTTATCCTACAGCAGTACAAGTTTATTCTAATGCAAAAAAAAAAAAAAACTTTTAAGCCTTCCCTACTTCTTTCATAGTATACATTTTCCATGCTCTTTTTGCCCAAAGAATCTTTCAATAGCGAAAGTCGAGACTTGAATTTTTTCTTCAGTTCTCCCAACTTGAGAAATGCTGAGCGTGTTCTTCCTTTTTGGTTTTCTAGTTCCAAATCTTTGCATATTTTATTATAGTACCTGATTTTATCTTCTCGAGCTAATCTTTGAAATTTTCTGTTCAGCTCTTGAGCTTCCTCAATTCTTCTATTTGCTTTAGCTTCTCTATGCTGGAGAGCAAGTTTCCTCCTCTGACATCCATTTTGACCTTTTCCTTCTTTCTTGTCTACTTAATACTTTTTGCTCTCTTCATGTATGATGTTCTTGGTGTCATCCCATAACTCTTCTGGTCTTCAGTCTTTAGTTTTTAATGCATCAAATCTGTTCTTCAGATG